AGTTGGTACTCCTGTAATTCCCTGGGAGGGCAAGGTAGGAGGCATTTTTGAGGCTAACCTGGGTGATTTAGCAAGGACCTGTCTCAAAATAAAATAAAATAAAATAAAAAGAGCGGGAATGTGGCTCAGTGGTCCTGGATAACACACACAAAAAGTAAAATTAGAGAGCAAACCAAAGAACTAAAGTCCCTATGTGATTTGAGGGAACAGTCTCTTCTTTGCCACCTCACCCATGTGGCTTTGAACACCACACAGACCTCTATAACTCTGACTTGCAGACTAGAGTCCAATATTAACCATCTCAACTAAGGTGGGGAAGAACAAAGAGCCTGTTCATTAATTAGTATCCCACTTACTGTTATCATTTGCTTTAAAATCCGCACATATCAACTAGCTTTGTCTCTACTGTGAGATCCAAATAAATTTATAGTATCTAACAATTTTTGAGTACCCATAGAGCATCTCGCTGTGGATGATGCCATCTTGGCAACTTTTTATGCTACATAGCTCCTAAACTTAATGTACCTATAGGTACTACTGCCCACACTGCCTGGATAGAAATCCTTGTTCCCACTTTCTAGCTCTGAATATGCACACATTACTTACTCTGTCTCTCGGTTTTCTCATCTGAAAAACAGGGACAAAAACATTATCTACTCCATAACTTTGTTGTCAGAGTTCAATGTAAAACCTTTAGAACCTGGTTCTCTAAGCCTAGACCTTCCCTGTATATCTTATCTTGGCTCCTAAACATCTAGGAGCCTTAGGAAATTTCCCCTCATCTAGTAACCATTTTAGATGCTACTATCTTTTGCTTTGCTGGAATAATACAGGATAGAGCCCAGCCTGGATTCAAGTCAGCTCTGCAGGGCTCCGTACACAGTGCTCTCCTTGATTGTCTTACTACCCTTGTGTGGGCTCTAATATCTCCAGAGGAAGCAGAACATTTATGTTAAGACCAATAAATGCCTTGAAAATAAAAATACAAACAGACTTTAACTAATTAGCTGGCTAATGACTCTCTCCCAAAGCCAATTTTTCGTAGTTTGACTACAATCATGATCAAAAACAAAACATCAAAAAATAGGAAAGGTGTTCTTTCTCTGGTTCTTGGCAATTAAAGTTAATCAAGTGCATGAGTGCTTGCATACGGATCAGTTTCTCATATTTGGAAAGTGTCCCTCAGCAATACTGTCTATAGTTTTTCTATCTAGTTTTTAAAAGTAGAACTAAGTGTAAGGTGTATGGGGAATCTTTCAGAAGTCTCAATAATGATGCTATAATGATTTTAGTAACCTAAGTTTACATTCTGAAATCCCAAATTAAAATACCAGATATGGACCCCATTTATAATCTGTTAATTGTTCTCTTTACAGGGGCCCGGGGATCCAAGTTTATTTTTTTCCTTTGGGTGCTGTTCTTAACAACATATTTAGGATGGATGGCTCACCCCCCAAATGCGGGATTGATGTATAATTTTTGCAGTAGTTATATTAGCCTGTGAACTGGTACTTCTTGACCCTCCAGTGGGGGCTGGATCAGATTAATCATGGTGTTATTATGTCATGCATGCTAACAGCCTGCCTGTGGAAAAGAAGTCACGTCTGCCGCAGCACAATTATCTAAGACTGATGATACAGACCTAAGTCATTATAATAAAATTTATTTG